CGCTTTTTCCCCCCCCCCCCCCACCCCCATGCATCTTGTGGTCTGCATTTGTGGCAAATGCCATCTACCAACTTTAACTCAAAATACTTAACTCTTATCTCCTCACTTCCTACACACCATACCGCTCATTCACAGCCCACCCCACCCCCAGCCCAGTGCCCTCCACCTTGATCCGCTGCCCCAGCTCAGAGCACACTCCCATACCCTGAACCCTCATCCCCGTCCCCATCCCAGTGCTCTCATTCCCCTTTGTACTCCAGTATTTTGCCTCAACCTGAAGCCGCCTCCTGCACTCTGAATACCTCAGCCCCACCCTCCAGCCTGGAGCCCCCACCTACAGCTCATACCATTCATTGCTAGCCCCATCCAGAGACCTCACTCCCTGCCAGAACCCTCATGGCCCCTGAAACCCAAACCACCTACCCCAGCCCAGTGAGTGAGGATGGGAAAGAAGAAAGTGGTGGAGATAAGACATTCAGTTTTGTGCCATTAGAAAGTTGGTGACCTTATCTGTAACAATTCCCAAAAAACATTTACATGCTGTTAACCATCGGAAAATGTCATTCACCTAAGAACAATGATATAGAGAAGTCCAAGTTTACATTTTGTTTTTGCATGGAGAACAGGACATTTAGATTTCTTTGAAGGAAATCACAGAACACTCCCCTATCCAATACAAACACTCAAAAATCTTAAGTAATAATCTTTGTGAGGTTTATATTAATTTTTTCAAGTAATAAAAGCTCATGCAACAATGCGAATATATCCAAAATGTAGTAGCTAATTCAAAAGAGCATAGTCTAAGCCTGGGTAAGCCAATCACTTTCTTTTTTCATAATGACTTTCAGATATCTTTGTTACTACCTCAGAATTCCTGTCATCAGCATTAGTACAAATTGGAGCTCCTTGATTCAGCACCCTTGGGACCTGAACGGTCCCGAAAAAGGGATTTTGCTGAACCAGGGGATATCAGTTCTGCCTGCCTGTCACCAACCTCCCACTCCAGATTGGCTCCTGGCCCAGCCACTGGCTGCATGGCTGACTCTCCCCTCCTCCCCCACCACCAACGCAGTAGGGCTCCCAGCCACAGCCAGGCTAATGGTTCCACTGCCACTAGACAAGAAGGGACACAGGACTAGAAGGGTTGCTGGCTCCACTCTTGCAACTGGCCCCGTTGGGCTCCCAGCCACCATGGCTGCCAGTCCTCCAGCCCCAGAAGGGCTGTCAACCTCCCAGCTGCTGACTCGGCAGGGCTCCTGCCACCAGCCACCGACCCTCCCCCAGGACTCTCTAGTCCAGATATATCTGTGAGTCCTATTGAACCAGAGATGTTGCTGGACAAGAATGTCCTGGTTTAGAGATGCTCAACCTGTATAATTCTCCTGAAGTAATAATGCTAATACAACCCAATGAGGATGAATTCCAGAATATTTGACCAAAAGTAGTAATTAAATAATATTATTTTGGAAGATACAATGGTTAAAATCTAAAAATATTTTATATGAACAAGAATTTAGTTGAAGATATTCAAGGAAGACAGACACAGAGACCCCAGTGTAACTGATAAAATGTGGTGTAAATAAAAACAGACCTCCTGAATCCCTAATACTTTACTAATGTAGGCTATTATTTATGCCTATTCGACAGCATCCGGTCAGTTCAAAAGGAACATGTAAGAAAATACTACCTTACTTTATGTGTTATTTATGTAGCTGCAATTGCGCTCCTTAAGCTGACCTTTTGGGTGTAATATAGATCTGGCCTTAGGTTTCAGAAAGAATGAGCTCTTTTACTTAGAGAAATAAGACAAGGAAGTAAATTTACATAACCTACCTTCAGCCTACACTCAGCAAACAACTTCTTTCTACTTGTAACCAACTTATCCTACACCAGGATCTCAGAGTGAGTTGATGATGCAAAGGATTTGTTTGTTGATATAGCTCTGAAAATGTTGTTTTCATGTAAACACAAGCAGACTACCCTTTGTTGTAACT